ATATGTTATATTATGATAAGAAGGTCCGGAGCATCTTATTCAGCAAACATCCTTTTGTAGCTGGAGTGGGAATATTCTGATGACCCCCCTCCCCCCAAGGAAGTCTGTAAACCAGGCATTCTCAGACATTTTCAGCTGCAGAGCCCTTTTTGTAGCAAAAGTTTCTTGTGGAGTCCCAAAAAATGTTTACATATTGTATTGTTTGGGACTCCACAATAAACTTTTGCTACAAATATATATATATATATAACGTATGTATATGGGCAAACTTTTTGACACATTGTGTTTTAAAATTTGATACGTGGGATGGGCCAGTAGCAGTTGGATAGAGAGTATTTGTGTGAACTAATTGGGGAAGAAATGAACAAATTCCTATGCACATTGCACATACCTCATTTGTAGTGCAAAAAAAGGAAAGAAAGAAAGAATAATACAATATTTAAAATGAACAACAATTTAAACCAACTTTAAATTTAACGGTATTTCAGTGAAAGACCTCAGGAACCATCCAGTCCTACCCCCTTATTCCATGCAAGAAACGCACAATCAAAGCACCCCCAACCGACCGCCACCCAGGCTTTGTAACAACAACCACAACTGCAACTACAACAACAGCTGAAACCCCAGAGGCCAGCCGGTTCAACCCCCCCCCCCTTCTGCCATGCAGGAAAAATAAACAACTAATGCATCAATGAATGGTGTGAGGAAAATAGGGTTTTGAAAGCAAGAAAGGCAAGGCAAAAAAGGCTTTTGGTAGCAAGGGAAGTGGGGGAGGTGGGGGAGTAGGAAAGAGGAGAGAAAGCTTGGATGAGAGAGGGTGGAGGGAGAAGGAGGCGGAACCACAGAGCCCATCAGTATGCTTTGTGGTGCCCAAGGGCCCCGTGGAGCACACTTCGAGAACTTCTGCTCTAAACTAAAAGATTCGCAGTGCAGTTTGGAGGGTGAAAATTACTCTAAATTGCGCTCAAAGCCCTATAAAATGTGTGCAAACATACACACACACACACACACATAAACCTTTCCCCGATATATTATTAGCTTTCCACGCCTCCTTCAAAATGGCAACTGGAATAGGCATTATCTTAGCTTTGAAAACACTGTTGGTGTTCATAAAAGAGGAAAGAAAACAAGACTGAGTTGGTATTTCAGTCAGCAGGTGGCAGTCCACTAGCAGTGTTTCCATTCTTATTATTTTACTTGAGTGGCTGATCAAGTCAACAAACATAACAGATCGGAAGTGTATAGATTAATATTTTAAGAATGCTGACAAATTCTTCAAAACCCATAATGATGGCATAATTTAGAAGGCTGCCTTTAAGAATTAACACATGCAGAAACTTTTGGATCCCAGAAAAGTTCTTGAGCACAGCTCAGTTACTGGTGGTTTCAGCATGTAATTGCATTAATCTTTTTTTAAAAGTCAAACTTAAAAGTGCCAAACACAAGTTTGTAGCGTTAAAGGTAAGATTTCTTTTCCTGGGTGTTATCTTTGAAGTGAAGTGACAGACAGATACAAAGGGTTGAAGAGTTACACTTTCTCTCAGGGAAGCAGGGTTTTGTTTTTAGTTTCTATTTTCTACAAAACAGGTGATGTTCTTATAAAACTGAATGCTGTTAAAAAGTATAATAAATTTTTCAGAAATGTTAGTGAAAATGTGAGATACATTTCAAAAAGCTTCTACAGAGAACATCGGAGTATTGATAAATAATGCAAGAATACATTTAATGATAAATCATACTCAGAAGCAGTAAGATTTATTGCCAGACAAATGTGTAGCATTTTTACTTTTAAATACTTGATTTTTCTGTTTGTACATGGGGAAGAAGAGGTCCAAAAAGAGTAAACTCATTTAACTTGCTCCACCAGCTATTTCTAGAAGATGCAGAAAAAACTGTAACTCTGTTGATGTAATAAAATAATCTCATTGCTGAGTATTATCCCTTGGCACTTTTCCTCCTCTCAGATATTTCCTGAATGTCATCTGTGCTGCCATTGGACAGCAAAGACCAAACCCCTGCATTTTAATTTTAGATACAGACTATATAGCTTGTCAACTATTTTGCTCCGTGTATGTAATTGTACTCCATTTTTTACAAGAGTGAAGAGCCAGCAAATTTAAATGGGTGTTGCTAGGCATGTTTAACTCAGTACATTTCTACTGGTTCGGGATCAGCAGCAAATAAGGTTGTAACCTTTGGTCTGGAACTCCATCTCACATTCAGAACATACACATACACGGTCCAAGTCTTTTCACACAAGCAATAATATTTTGGCATTAACCCTATTAATGCAAACTTAAAGAACTATTCAGATATAATTTAGGAGTTTAAGCATTCAGCATTAATCCTTTTTATATAAATTTCTTGAAGGACTATGAAATATAATTTAGCAAAAATTCGAAGGAGCTTAGTGTGGATACCAAGCAGCTTAGAACTGACATTTTTATGCCAGTTCCCGTCACATTGTGTGGTTGTATGGAAGGGCCCCTCAGTTTGATTGCATTGCAAACAGTGAGTGGATGTATAGAATGTTGCAGCACTTCAAGGAAATTGCTCTAGTGAAGAAATTGAGAGCAGTATTGGACCAGTAGATTGCCAAGCTGACCATGAACCATAAGTAGCCAAACTATCTGCAGAAACAATGGGCATGCAATTAAATGACTTATTATTATTATTATTATTATTATTATTATTATTATTATTAACTTTATTTGTACCCCGCTAGCATCTCCCGAAGGACTCGATGCAGCTTACAAAGACCAAGGTCTCAAACAACAACATTAACAATACACAACCTAAAACAATTTAAAAAAATTAAAACAGTTAAAGCGAAATTAAACAACAAGCAATAAACAATACACCAAGACACAATAAAACTGGGCCGGGCCAGAGTAATGGGTACAGGATTAAAAGTGCTGATGTGACAGGTGATATGTAAGGATTATAGGGTAAGTGCAGTGTGCGGTGTGCGGCAATCTTAATTCTAATAAAGTGCTTCTGGGACTTGTTATTGGAGTTTTCCTATTCTGGAAAGGCACATCGGAACAGCCAGGTCTTCAAGTTCTTTCTAAAGACTGCCAACGTAGGGGCCTGTCTAAGATCTTTGGGGAGAGTGTTCCAGAGTCGGGGGGCCACCACAGAGAAGGCCCTGTCTCGTGTCCCCACCAAACACGCCTGCGATGCAGGCAGAATCACGAGTAGGGCCTCTCCGGATGAACAAAGTGAATGCGTGGGTTCGTACACGGAGATGCGGTCACGCAGGTAAGATGGTCCCAAACCATAATTGAAGACTGGAACCTGAACTCCAGGAGATGTCCCCTACTTGGAAGAAATGAGCACCACTAGCACCAATTCAATCTCGATACTTAGTCTTACTCCCTCAGTCCCAAAATTCCAGGTAACAGATGAGTTCCTGGAGAGCCATTCAGACACTTTCCCTCCTCCCTGCAACCAAGGGACACACAACAAGAATAATACTGCACTAAAATAGGATATTAAATTAATGTATTATTAATTACTTAGTGCAAGGGTTGGGCTACACAGGGCCAGTTTTGGCCTCAAAGTATCCAAAAATAAAATACAGAAAATGAAAATCAACTAATGTCTCAAATCATTATAAATCCATTGAGGAAAAATGATCATTTGGGCTCTCTCCACTACCACTTCCAAGCCCCCTGCCCAAAATCAGAAAATGGTTGTTTTTCAACTGAAAAGTGAAAGTGGAAGTCACATACTATCATTCAGGATGCACCAGTTCATCTAGCAGGGGTATCTTGGGGGCAAAGACTGACCCATATACTTCATGCAGTCGTCTGCCCTGATTTAAAACATGTATTTCTAGAAATACATGTATTGAGCTGTTGCAACAAAACAAAAAAGATCTGTGTCAGGGTGAAGGGTAATTATGGCACAACATCTCTACTTTATTCCACTGTAGTAACAGAAGAAGAAGACAATGTAAGTAGTTGTATACATAATTTTAAATTTTAATAACCAAAATGTAACAATTTTTGCATGGTTATTTTTTATCTGTATAAATTGACTTTTGTTTAATTGAGAATTAAGAAGGAAACACATGTGTTCGTGATGCAATGCATTAAGTCCAAATGAAGGCAAACTTAACTTAAATTCTATTAAGATCTATTTGTGGAAAGTCAATGTGGTTTGTTGATTTGAGTGCTGGACTTGGATTCTGGGAGACCAGGATTCAAATCCCTGCTAAGCAATGGAAATCCTCTGGTTGACCTTCGGCAAATCACATTCTCTCAGCCTCAGATGAAGACAGCAATAAATTCACTCTGAAAAAATCTTGCCAAGTGATAGGGCTGCCTTAGAGTTGCCATAAGATAGAAATGACGGGGACACACACAAAAAAATCAATGTGAAAAGTTAGCTGTAACTATAACATTGATTTCATTGGGAATGAAATCCATTTACTGCAATCACTGTGAGTCCCCTTCGGGATTGAGAAAGGCAGTATTCAAATATAGCAAAATAAATAAATAAATTTAGATCCACCTTCTCGCTATTTAACCAAAAATCTCTTCTAGTCGGCTCTATCCAGACAATCACTTTGTCAGAAGAGTGACAACCTGCCAAGCACTTTTAAGAGTAAGATCTCTCACATTTTCTCATAGTTTAATAATCTTCATCCCAAGAATAAATATTCTGAAGAGCTGAGACTACTGCTCTACAAATCTAGTTTTTCCCACCCCTAAGCACCCCCCCCCCCAAAATATTAATGACTGTACAGGATGCTTGCACTCTTGTCAGGTCAAATCTATTTCTATATATACATTTTTACTTTTTAGTTGCCGACCAAACACACATAGACACTGCACTTTGATCACCTATCAGCCTCCCTTTCTGCAGAGAGAGAGGGGGGGGGGGGGGAAGCTGTTGTTCAAGTAGACTAAATTAGCTATTTGTATTAATTTGTAACATACCAGGACTATGCCAGCACCCATGGGTTCTCATTGCACTGTTCCTTTAAGCTCTGTGAGCATGATGTCATTATGCGTTTTGAAGGCACTTTTGAAAGAGAGAGAGAGAGAGAGAAGGTGCAAGAGCTGTTTCAGTTTTGAAGCTTTTGAAAGTTGTCAAAGAAGCAAACTACTACTCTGCAGTCACTCTGGGACACTGTGGGATGTGGAAAAAACAGAGTGAAAGAGACAAATTCAGATTCTCTTGTGTTGCTTTGCTTGGTGCTGAAGGAGCTGAATGTGATCTGCAACCTGCCCAAGAATAAAGAACTGCTTGAAATAACAATAGCAATCACAATAATATGGGCAGCCTTCAGTTGGATGATTTTGTAGCTGGATGGGTAGGAGGTAAGTAACCCTTGCTGGGTAGGTTGCAAGGAAAGCAGAAGAGTACTTATAAAAGAGATACATGTAGAATGGAATATAGGTTTATGATCTTAGCTGACAGCACACAGGACATCCTATGCATTCCTCAACCCTGTGTGTGTATCATGTGTGTAATATGGAAATAGTTTATTCAAAATTAAGCCATAATTGCAACTGCATAACATTAGGTCTCCTTGCTCTTGTGGATATCAAAGATACTGTAGTCCAGGAAACAGTTAGTTCAGGCAGGGAAATGTATTAACTAAGATTACTCGTGTTATTCTACAATTTTCCCCCATGTCTCCATATTGTGATTTAGTTTTTTAAAAACTCCCCAGAAACTTTCATTATGGAGACAAGCCCAGATGTTTAGATAGCTGGAACATTACACTGGCCAGTCAAAATGCACGATCCAGCCACTCCCTTCATGAACAAGAGCCTGATAAGGAACTATGGATCACTGCCAGCTCTCTTCATTGATTTTACCATCTTGCGTATGTTCAGACAGCTCATCCTGTCAAATTTGGTCACGGAGCAGGGTGCTCTCACTTCTCACAAATGGAAAGAGGATAGGAATATTTGCCTCTTTTCTTTTTCTAACTGCTGCTTTATGTGTATGTCTTCAAATGGCCTTCTGGTTTATGGTGGAATTATACTATATTATACAATGATAGAGCTCAATTTTCACAAATCTTTTCATCACATTTTCCAGAAATTATCATTTGTTTTCTGAGAATTTCTAATGAAACACCACAGGATGCATTTATATTGTATAATTAATGCAGTTTAACTGTTGTGGGTCACTGCTTTAGATTCATGGGAGTTGTAGTTTTATGTCAACTTTAGCCTTCTCTGCCAGAGTGCTGGTACCTTATCAAACTGCAACTCTCATGATTCCACATGGCAGTTAATTCTCCAATGCAGACACACCCTTCGACCACACAGGAATCACATATTTCACATTTAATTTTTATTTCTATCTTTGGGGTGAAAAGAAATATTCTTGACCCAGATCTAATTACAATAGTTGGCCCATGAGTAGATAAAATTATGAATAGTACAATAAATACAATAATTATTTTGGTTTAAAACTGTAAATCATGTTAAAAGTTTATAAGATACATAGGCCAAATCATTTATAGGTATCCAATAGTTCAATGGGGAAATTAAACATAAATTAGAATGAGAAATGAGATTTCATTATGAATTCTAATGGAATACTTCCATTAGGAGTGATTTCTACCTTTTCCTTGTGTCTCTATATTTTTTCTCTGCGGTTTGGACAGCTCTTGAAAATGCCATGGAAAGAGCAACGATTTTCAAGTCCCCTTCCAGTCCATCAGCGGAGTTTACAATGAGCCAAAGTTCTGATTTTCCCAAGATGAACAAAACTTGAATCATGGTTTAATTTGAATGCTAGTTCACTCTTGTAAACAAGTCAGTTTAAGGATTTAATTTTTAAGAAAACAGGGCAGGACCTGGCCAGAAAATTACAAGCCAGTAAGATTGATCTAGTTTATTGTCAAACTTATGACCTGAATGGGTCATGATGTAAGATTTATCTGAAGAACATGCTAGTTTTAAGGATGATTAATTGTTGTCAGACAACTGCCTGATCTTTACCCACTTAATCAATCTATACCCTCTAATGGATCGTCCTCAGTGTTGCTAATTCAATCAATTTATTTCTCTACCAACCTATAAAGAAAAGGAAGAAAAATGAAAAATAAGCCACAATTTTTTAATTTAAAAATAATCACTGAGAAATTTCAGATTAAAAAAAATGAAGAGGGAGGATGGTGGTGGTGGTTGGGGGGGGGGGGATATCCAAAATCAAATGCTTCCTTCACTTTAATGCAGTGGTTCTCAAACATTTTTAGCCACTGAGACATTTTTGAAGCAAAAGTTGCTCATGGAGTCCCAAGAAAAAATTATATATTATAATATATTATATATAAAGTATATATCTCAGGCATGGGCAAACTTTTTCATGCATTGCGGGCCAGTGACAGATGAGTGGAGAGTGTTTGTTAGCTGACCACATCCCCTTGTACAAACCTGCCTGGGCCATGAGACCTTCAGGAGAGGCCCTTCTCTCGGTCCCACCTCCATCTCAAGTTCAGTTGATGGGAACGAGAGAGTGGGCCTTCCTTTTCAATGGCTGCCTCTGGACTCTGGAACTTCCTTCTTCCCAGGGAAGCCAGAATAGCCCCTCTCTGCTTCCTTTCCAGCAGCAGGCTAAAACCCTTTTATTCACACAGGGTTTTAAAGAAGAAAGTTTTCAAGATCGGTTCAGTGGGTATTTTGGTTTTTAATTCAGGGGGTGATGTGGGTGGGGTTGGGGGAATATGAGTTTTACAGGCCATTTTAGTGTATTTACTGTATTTTAATTTTGTTTCACCACAATGTGAGTATTAAATTGTTTTTAATTTTGGTACTGCATCTTTTATACTTTTCTAATGTGGAGTGTTAGCTGCCTTGAGTCCCCACAGGGAGAAAGGTGGAGAATAAAAATCATGAGGTTAATACTAATACTACTAATACTAATAATAACAATAATAATAATTTTTGTGAACTAACTTAAAAAAAAACAATTTGCAATGCAGGAAAAGCACAATCAATGCACCTCCAACAGATTGCCATCCAGCCTTTGTAGTATTAAGAATAATAAGAATAGGAGCAACCCCAGGGGCCATCCAGTCCAACCCCCTTTGCCATGCATTAAAAGCACAATTAAAGCACCCCCTCCCAACAGATGGCCACCCAGCCTTTGTAATAATAATAATAATAATAATAATAATAATAATAGAAGAAGAAGAAGAAGAAGAAGAAGAAGAAGAAGAAGAAGAAGAAGAAGAAGAAGAAGAAGAAGAAGAAACCCCAGAGGCCATCCAATTCTATAATGCAGGACGGGCACAATCAAAGCACCTCCTGGGCAGTGGGAGGGAAATAGGGTTTTGGAATCAAGCAAGGCAAAGAGGAAAGAATCTGGGCAATGAGGGAGGCAAGGAAAAATGCTTTTGGCAGTGAGAGAGGTGGAGGAAAGGTTTTTGACCTTGAAGGAGGTGGGGGAAAGGCTTTTGGCAGCAAGGGAGGCAGGTCTCAGAGATTATATTTATTTTCACACTAGAATTTAGTGTTTGGGAGGAAATCTGAGATAAAATCCACCCAGGAGCTCAGTATTATTTATTCTTCAGGAAGAAAGAAAAGCTGAGACAATGGGTTTCTACAACACGAACCCCTTCTTTGTGGGGAATAGATTTCTGAACTCAATATAAAAACATAAAACAGCTGATATTAATGAACTCTATTGAAATGAACCACACCAGATGGAAGAATACCATAGAATTGCACTGGAGGACCACAGAAATATCTAGAGAGAATGCCTCTCTAGTATTTCGAAGCTCTCCAGCACAATTGTATGGTCTGCCTCAGGTGGAATTGTACTTGAGGACCCAGAAAAGCCTAGAGATTACATTTTTTCAGACTTGGGTAACTTAAACCATGGGCACTGTTCCATGAATATGAGGAACCTACTGTATCTGTATATATTTCTAAACAGCATAGCTATCAGAAACATATGCTTCTGTAACCACTTAGCTAACATGTTATATGTTATTTTTCTAAAATTGTTCTTGAGAGCTCAGTACAGGCTGATTGACAATTCTTTCTTAAATCCCTGGATGCCAGGGTGGCTTGATTCCCCATCCCATCCTGAGACTGGGATGGGGTTGATCTGGCAAAATTGGACCAGTGAGAGCCTTGTATTCCTCAGGAATTATTAATTAGAAACACAAATAAATATTAAGATAATTATTGTTGTTCAGCCTCCAAGGAATAATAAATACAGACTTTAATTCAGTCCACATTTACTTGAGAGTAAGCTATATTGAACACATACATATTGTCATTCTAAGAAATTTTAAGGATGCTTCAACAATGGTGGGTAATTTGTCTCCTGCTAAGAAGACTTAAATATAGCCAAAATTACCATTGTGAGGCCCCAAACTGAAAAACAGTTCCATGCTTCTTTCTGAATCCTTGGTCTGTATCAGTATGCGGAACCTACTGTTGAAATGAAGCCTTACATTGCTCCTGATCATAGCCCATGCCAGTTGGCCTGATGTAATTGGGGTCCAACAATATCTGAAGCTCCCAAGGGAATATAATCTTTTCCATCCTTCATCTTCATGAGAGAGTCTACAGAAACAACTGTTTTGTGTTGAAATGCAATCCCATTGTGTAGCAATACATTTCTGAGGGCCCTTCTACACAGCCATATAACCCAAATATCAAGGCAGAATAACCCACAATATCTGCTTTGAACTGGGTTATTTGAGCCCACACGGCCATATACTGTATCCCAGTTCAAAGGAGATAAATGTGGGGTTTTATTCAGTTGTGTGGAAGGAGCATGAGGCCAGATAACGTACATAAACAAGGAAGGAAGTGGGAAACACAGAGAGAGCTAAATAATACCTTCACTTTGAAACTGTATTTTGCCTCAGAAAATTCCCCCTTTTTGCACAAAAAACCTAAGAACCGGGATCCTACCATCTTTTTCTTTTGAACATCCTTATTGACACCAACCTGCTGCAACCGATGGAATCCTTGGATTTGCAGTTTATCCAGAGAACACTAAGAACCCTCTGAATTACAAATCCCAGGACCCCAAAGGAGGAAGAAATGTCAATAAGTTCCGGTTCCGGTTATGGCGGTCAGCAGCAGAAGCTGAGCTGCATTTAGCTGTAAATCGCCTGGAGCATTCTCGGATGGAGGGCAATTAATAAGTTATTAAATGATGATGATGATAAAAGCATTTGCAGACGATATGGTCTGCATAGTGGAAAACCCAAGGGAAAATATAGAGAACTGGCTAGAAACAATTGAAGAATTTGGCAAAGTTTCGGGCCTAAAAATAAACAAATTAAAAACAAAATTTTAACAAAAACATACAACAAAAACATCAAACTGAACTTCAA